ATTTAGAGTTGTTCTCAACTGCTTTTTTTTTCCTTTTGAGAACGGTTTTATACCGATTTTCAACTTGAAGAGGAGTTTTTAATACGTCCAACATCGTCAGCATATCTTTTGAAATTTGCGCCCACACCAATTTTTTAGTTTTGAATTTTTTCATGGGACTGACATATATATTTCATATTTATTGAGAAGAAACGATGTTCCTGAATTGCTCCAGTAATCTGAAAATCACGTTGTTTAATGATTAATACAATAGTCTACATTATAGCACCAGTAGACCTATTAGTAAGTATTACAATAATGTAAAAATTTTGTGAAGTCAAAGATTTTAAAAAATCTTTTATATTTTATATTACATTTTTCATATTATATTTATTTCATTTATATTATATTTATATATATTCTATTATACATATATATTATATGTATTTTATTTGTTAATAATATATTTAGATTATTAACGTATCATTCTTCGTTTCGTATCGTATTAATTTTCTGCTCGAATATAACAAATACCATATTTTATAAATTTTATAGTACATTATCATAGTGCTATGAATAGTCGTAAATGCTTTATTAAAACAGATTTACCGCTACTTCTTTTCTTTTTTATCGTACTCCTGCGATTGTGATTCATTCTGATCATACTCCTGTGATTCAAAGGATTCAAACATGAGTGCTTCATTTTCTTTATTATACTCCGATAGCTGATCTTCATTGCTGCGATTATCACCATGAATATTCGCGTGGAATATCAATTGTTCTCTGTAATACAAAATATATTGACATTTTACACTGCCATATACAGGGTGAGTAAGGATCCTCTGCAACAAACTTAGACAGATTGTTTGGAAAGTCATTCTGATTAAAAAATGTCATATGAACATAGATCCTATTCTTAATATTTACAGACCTCAAATGTTCGACAGAATTTGACAATCACTGCTACGATGGTGTATAATAATACACAAATGGTAATAAAAGTAATCAGATTCAGAATAAACACTTTGAACAACTCCTGTAAACTGTCCGCAAGGATACTTGAAGAAATAAATGCATAATTCATTTCATAACTGTACATGTCACCTAAATTTTACAACTTCTGTAACTATGTAAATATTAAGAATAGGACCTGTGTTCATATAACATTTTTTACTCAGAATGATCTTCCAAACAATTTGTCAAAGTTCGTTGCAGAGGTCCTCTGACTTACCCTTTATTTTTTTTTTAATTTTTTTTCTGTTGTGTACATTTGAATTCTGTAGAACTTTGATTCTTTGAAGAAATAATGAAAAACAAGATTGCTTGGAATTAATATATGTATGTAAGAAACTGAAGAGTTCCTGTTTACCCTAAAGTAAACTTACTTATTTTTTTAAAGTAAACTTGTAAAATAAAATGGTAATTATATTTTATAAAATAAACTTTGCTCTTAACTTCTTAATGTGCTTTTTCGGAAGATTTCGATAGCTTGCAATTAATACATCTCAAAAAAATTTTACTTACTAATCTTCAATCACTCGAGATATTTCTTCAATTTTCTGATTTTCGCTTCCATGTAGAACACACAATCCATTTTTAATCACAAGTTTTATATATTGTATGCTGTAGGTATCGTCATCTGAAATTAATTGACACAAGAATCAATAATATTCAGTTAATATTCTTTTATGTATATATTTTTGAATATCAAATGAATTGTGTTTTACAAGCTTTACAAGGGGTTATATATGCATTCAAGTTTTTCGAGTAGACAATATCCAAAAACTATTATGTACATAAGTACATGTCTTTGCCGACAATTTATTTATACTACGGGAATAACCTCAAAATCCAAAATCATGCAAGTCCTATATAATTCTATACTTACTCATTAATTTATTGTATAACTCTGTTTCACTTGATAGAAGTTTTAACGAGAGCATGTCATTATTGACTTTGAAAGAAATGCTTAATTCTTCTGATTGTTCCATAGTGAAGTTTACGTTAATGCATATATTTTCTTTCAATCCGAGGCGAATCGGTTCTTATGCGCACTCATCAAGTCATAAGTGTTTCATTGGGCGTGCAAAAAAACTTGCACTGTCGGTAAACTCGGGTAATGTCGCCTAAACTCCACGAGTTCCTAATGCGCACTCAGTGCATCCCAGTGCAATGAAAAACGCTATAAGTAGCTGATCAAGAGTCAGAATTGTCAAACTCTCTAATAATGACGGTCATAATTTGCTTATTTCAAAAGTCGATTAGTTTTTGCCTGTGGGTAGGTATGGACCGTCAAAAAATTCCCCCTCCACTCGACCCGCCGGCGCCGAGTGGAGGGGGAATGTTTTGACGGGCCATACCTGCCCACATACTACTATTGTCTTTCGAAACATCGTGCGATTTGGCGTTTGATGTACATAACCTTAAAATCAGCAGTGTTCACGATGGCAATAACAGAAGAGCATATTCGATTTTCCATCCACTTCGCGTTTCATCTGAAGAAAAATGCTGCTGAAGCCACTGAAATGATCTGTGTTGCATATGGAGAGAACGCTGTAAGTTATGCTACGTGTAAAAGGTGGTATCAAAAATTTCGCCAAGGAGATTTCAGTCTTGAAGATGAACCGCGTGCTGGACGCCCTCAAAAGATTGAAACGGACGAACTGCAAGCATTATTGGATATAAACTCACAAACTGAAAAGGAGCTTGCAGAGCAACTTGGCGTTACGCGACAAGCCATTTCCACACGTTTACATGCACTGGGAAAAGTTCAAAAGGAAGGCAGATGGGTCCCGCATGCACTGTCCGAAGACAACAAAAATCGACGGCGTGACACGGCACTCACTTTGCTTTCAAGGTTCCGGAAAAAGGATTTTCTGCACCAAATCATTACAGGTGATGAAAAGTAGATACTTTATGATAATCCGAAGCGTAAAAAATCATGGGTTGACCCTGGTCAACCTTCGACATCGACGCCAAAGACCAATATCCACGCCAAGATGGTTTTGCTTTGCATATAGTGGGATCGGAAAGGTGTATTGTATTACGAGTTGTTACAGCCGGGTGAAACAGTAACGGCAGATCGCTATCAGCAACAATTGAGCAATTTGAGCGATGCGTTTGAAGAAAAGAGGCCATTTACTGGCAAAGGACGTCGTACAGTAATACTGCTTCATGACAATGCCCAACCACATGTTGCGAAAGTGACTCAGGACCATATCTTTGCGTTAGGCTGGGAACTTCTCCCGCACACGGCGTATAGCTCAGACATGGCGCCTTCCGATTACTACCTATTCCGGTCTCTGCAGCACTTCTTGGCTGATACACATTTTGTGACACTTGAAGAGATACGAAAATGCATTGATGACTTTATCGCCTCGAAGTCGGTGAGCTTCTACCATCAGGGAATTCGCAAGCTGCCCGAAAGATGGCAAAAGGTCATCGATGCAAACGGGGAATATTTGATTAATATAGTTTTGTTTGTTTTTAAATAAATTTTGAATTTTGCAAAAAAAGGCTCAGAACTTTTTTGCGCTCCTAATAAATACAATAATAACTTTATTTTAGATCAATGCGGATATTGACTTTTGGCCACATTTAGAAATATTCTGGCCCACTGTGCCATGGTCGAAAGGGAAACGCATACAAACAAAAGCGGCGTATGTACATGTGCCACATGTATGCAGCTTTCGTTGCGCGTTTTCCCTTCCACCGTGAGTCGCGGAGCCGCTAGTAAAGGCTATCATACACAAATGAACGTAAGCAGTAAGACGTAAGCAGTAAAGAAACTGACCAATTACAATCAATTATTCTCGTAAATTTAAAAATGGCGTTCTTAAATTTCAATTGTGATTGGTCGATTTGTTTACTGCTTATATCTTACTGCTTAAATTCGTTTGTGTGTGATGGCCTTAAGCTGTTTCGCTCAAAGTGTGACAAGGCGAGCGTGAACGGGCTATCTCAATCTCGCTCAGTGTGCCAAGCACGTGAGAAGACAGAGAAAACCGAGTGGTGGGGGTAAGCCTTGACCGTGCGCTTAAGAATTTCCAGCATTACTTGTGCCTGTGTCGCGTGTCTGCTCACTAGTGGTGAGACAAAGTCAAAGCGATTCAATTGTTATCCTTCTTTTATATATATATATATATATATAAAAGACTCAAATCATAGACATAAACCTCGTATCGTTACCGAGACATCGAGTTAGTTGATGTCTATTTTCTCAGGGGGCGTATCAGGACAGACATATGCTTTCGCTCGGTGGCCGCTCTCAGGTTTCTTTCTGCTTTAACAGCTAAAATCATTCCTCATAAGAACGATAGATGGCGCTAAGTATCTGATGATTCAATTAAATGTACGTTTATACTTTTATTTTTTCAAATGTAACTAGGAAAATTGATTGCTATTACAAGATAAATATATGAATTCAACTTAGATTTAAAAATATATATAAACACATATCTGTCAATTAGACAATTACTTTCTAACGGTTTCCTAATTTTAGAGTAACAATCAACGTTACACGAGCTTTGTTCATACAGGGATTGCTCCTATTCAGTAAACAAATTGACCGCAAATTTGCAACACATTTAATCAAAAACCCATAGCACAACCATAGCTATTTGTGTCCGTATTCAGCTGATGTTTTGACGTCAAGGTCTACTGTCGGATAACTTGCAGCGAACTCTGTTGCATATTTAGCGGCAGTTTGACAACAGAATTTGATAAGATCATCAAATTTGTTACTTACCTGCCATCAAAAATTGATAGCAAACTTTACTCAAAATTTGCTCGCGCAGGTTTGGCTATCTGGATAATGGCAAAGATTTATATTCACAAAAAAAAATAAAATCGACGTTAAACACTGTGGCTAGAATTGCTCGTTGGCGAAAATATTTTATATTTTAATTTTATAATCTAATAAAATATATATAATGTGTATCTGACGTTTAGAGATAAATGTAACTGCAGGTACTCGAAGCTACGAAAATACACGCGAAGGAAATAATAAATAATCGTTGCAATTTATCCAATAATCTATACGTGTGAATTTTATTGCTGCAATGTTGATGACAATTGTAACAAAAAAGGAAACTAAGATACATTATTAGCACGACACATGTGAATGTTATTTACATCGAAACGCCGCATTTATGCCGTAGCCTCGGCATTATTCGTATCTTGTGATTTGTATAACTTTGTCAGTTCCCCTAATTTATCCTTTCGCATGGTGGATTTAACTGGTGGTTTGCCTATCCTTTGTTGGACTTCTTGATCGTCTTGATTTTGAACTGGGTTTAATAGTACATTGTCCTCCGACGATTGAGATATCTCTTGCCGCCATCGAGTCAGCCAATTATTGGAAACAACCTGGAAACAGAGAAAAATCAAAATACCTATTGTTCCTAGAACTTAAAAAATGTTTTGCGAAAGAGAAAAATTGGAAGTATAACTTATAAAAATATATTTTTGAAGAATTTTAATATTAGTTGGACATTGACGTTGAAATCTGAACTATCCAATTGAGATCTGGACATCTGGTAAACCTAATACAGAACGTTTCAAAGAACGTTTCAAAACTTACTTGATCCTGATCGTTCGTTCTATTCGCATCTTGAATCTTTTTCAGCTTCTCCTTCATCGACTTGAATTTCTCCATCTCATTTTGGATTTTACGCTCCATTTGGTACTTGGCCACCGCTTGTGCCAACGGCCCCAATTGCCCTTTCATCGCGGCACTCAGCATCGCCTGTTCACAAACGCAAAGTATCTCCTCTCTTAATTATTTCTCTCAATCACCCGCTTTCGATGAACGCATCGAAGTGAGAGAAGACTTACATCTCTCCGCCGTTTAGAATCGGCGGTACCTATCGGGCTCGTCTCGGTTTGCGGGCCTAGTTCAATGAGAACCTGGAAATCAGCGTGCTCGCCTAAACGGAAACCCACACCGAGTCTGGAGTCGGTGCCCTTTTTGATCGGCGGGATGTTCGAGTAGATGAGAGAGAGAATGGTCGGTATCTCCTCCGGTATAATCAAACTCGTCGCGTCTGCAAAGTCATTTGTTTCACTTATACAATATCCACTTCGCACGCAGTCTAAAATTGTCGACGAAATTCGGCATAGAGGCATTATAATTACAACTCGCGAGAGGAATCGCGAATCGTCCGAAGTGAATCTTGATGTGATTTCACTTTGACGGGAGATCGCTCGTTTCTCAATCGAGGATTCTTGCTTCACGCGATCTTCTCGCTCTCATTTCCAGCGAGCGAGTATAACGCGCCAAAGGAGTAACACTCACGGTCATAGAGAACCAATAGAAGCAGCAGCGGCATGATCGCCGTCCTCACGATCGTCATCATCGTCGAATGCGAAGTCTTAGTCTGTCCTACGATCGCTCATGTATCCGACAGACACATGACTCGACTGCCACGAGTGTGCCACGAGTCTGCAAACCGAACGTGACAAATAGAAATTAAAACGAAGCTTCGATCATGGATTTGTATACATAGACTACGTCTTCTCATAAGACGTTTCAAGACAAGATGTAAAGGGTAGTTTATATTTCTCTTCCACTGTGCAAAATATGCTACCTCCGTCTATTTAGAATGAAGCTAGACAAATATCAAATTCTTTTGGCACTTCTATCAGGCAATCCTTTCCGGATGAAATCTTCGCAGCCTCTTATGGAACGATCAGTCAGAACGTGTATAAGTCAGTCTATGGTTCCGCAGTCGGTCCAGAGCACAACGTGAAGGAATTCGCCAGGAATCGATGCTCGAGATGCGCTAACGGTATTATTCGCAGATGTAAGTTCAGCTCGCGTTCTTATACTTTCTTACTCCGAACAAGGCAATCTTGAATGGCCAAATGCACGGAGTCCGGCTGCGATCACGCGAAAGTGAAATCTAAAAAGTGAGGCCGCCGCCTATAGTAATCGCGCGCGCCTGTTCAACTGCTCCGACAAACAAGAGAGTACGAATGTATTCTCGAATCGACGGCCGTGTCGATATTCCGCGATCACAAGTCAATATGTCCTTGACAGGAGACACTACTGGTGCGCATTCGGGCGGGGTCTTCGGACGGACGTCGCCGAGAACGCTCGTCGAGATCGGCACAATTTCGAAATGGAAGAAAGTTCGCGCGGCGACGCGCGAAATGCGAGACGGCAGCGGCAGGGTCCGCGCGGGTCCGCCGCACATCCCATACTCCATTCATGGGAAACTTACGTGAGAAAGTGAAATCCAAGTGGGCACCGAGTGGACTCTCGAGGAACAGCTTGCCGATCGACGTTCTAGGGCGAACTGACTCTATCGCGTTACGAAATGTGTGTATGAGCGTGTCTTGGGCGCCGGGCCGTGAGAGCAAGAAGGGAAGCTCGCAACTACTTTTGAGAAGTGAAAGGAGAGACGGATTGGGGATCGAGGTCATTCGCGGCCAAAGAAGTGCCGATACATCTATGAACTCTTTCTCTCTCACTCTCCCTGTTTCTCCTCCTCTTTTGCGCGAGCGCGAGCGTGAACGAGCGGTTTTCTCTTCGCGCCCTACCCCTCTGCGTTGCATTCAATCATTTGTTTCTTCTGTAAAAATTTCATCCTTTTTTGCTTTCCTTGTTACCTACCTACACGTTGATCTTCATTTTCAGTTTTATGTTACTTCTCCTTTGTCCTCTTTTTTGTCGGTATAATTTACTGTTCATCGCTTACGAAATCTAGATACATTTTTTTTTAATTTTGCCCTTGGAGAAATCCTAGTCCCTGGAACTAAAATAAAGACTGTCCTTTTCTCTCTTTTTTCTTTCCTTCGTGGTCGTCGTCGTGCGAGTTTGATGTATCTTGAATAATGTAACATATTTACATGCATGTGATTGATGCAATCGTTACATAGAGTATTTTAAGAAGCTGGACGACCTCGTGCTACTGATCTATGTAATTGACATTTATTCTACTTCGTGCTATTGATCTATGATTGACGACGATAACAATGACGACGGAAAGCGTCTGGGAATCGCGACTCGCGCGTATATCTCGCGCGTGTCACACGCGAACGCATTTAAAGAGTCACTATTAGAAAAGAGTACCGGAAAATGACAAGAAAAATTACACGCTTGCTCGGTTCCGCCACATAATGAAAGGGAAACTCTGTACTTCGCTGGAGGAGTCGTACATACATACATACCCGCGCAGATACATACGCGCGCACGCAAGGAACGTAGATTCGTCTTTCGCAATAACAGTTAGTTATGCCGTACTTGCGTTTACTTCCCCATAGCATGTCCGTTTATCGTAGCTCCATCAGTAACAAACAGTAACAACGGTATCGTGAACAGCTGAATCGAAAATCTAATTCAAAACTGAATTGTATTTCAAAACTGATTTTCAGTTCTAATTCATTCGAGAAATCGCGAAATATCTTCGCACGAAATCTGATATCAATTTTTTCGGTCATGATTTCAACGCGGTAGAGCAAATTGAACAAAATGAGAGATAACAAAGTCAAGAGGCACACCGTGCCTATTATATTTATATTTTTTATCAAGAGACACGGTAGTGTCTCGCGCCAAGTGCACGCGGAGCGAGCAAATGAGCGCAAACTTTACGCGACAGCTTGAGTTAGGAAATAAACAAATAGCTGTAACGGTTGGTCAGATTAAGTTCTAAGTAGGCGCAATCGAATCAACAAGAGCTTATTACATAATATATACGGAAATAAAATTTATTTTTGCCCTAAATGCTCTCGTTACTGAGTTATTTGTAGCCAAAGATGAAAAGTGTAAATTTCATATTAAGAAAATCCGTCGTCGGATGTTCCTTCACAACACATATGTTATTTATTGATTTAACAATATATATATATATGTGTTTATTGATTTAATAATATATATATATATGTCTTTCTTATATATATGTATTAATTCCGCACACAACCTTAAGCACACAAACTTAAACACACAAAAACTTAAACACACATAAACTCAAACACCTACAAACACACAATTAATTTTGCACACACACAAACACACATACACAAACAGACGTACAGACACACACAAAATAAAAATCAGGAGATTTCAACAATTTTCCAATTTTCTTAAAAATAGTAATCTTTAAATATCTTCAAATAGTCGGCGTCGCCGACAATTGCACAAACTATGATCATATAAGAAATATAATAGAATATAAAGTAAATATTGTAAGTGGATGTAAATAGTGTAATAATACTAAATTTAATACAAAAAATAATATTATTATTTCAATTCCTATTAACGATTTAAAAGAAAAAAGTTATAACTTTCAGGATTTGATAAATATTACGTTCTGGCATAAACAATTTATGCCAGTAAATTATGTGAACAGTGTGCAAGAAATGATATAATAACTAAAAATGAATTAATATTATCCAAAAACATAATTATAATACAATACATATTATACTGTTTTCATTAAAAAATGGTAAATTTCAAAAAACATTTAAATAAATTTGCGCGTTGTTCCAACAACTAAAATAAAAATAGCTGGACAGATTTATGAAGTAATAACTGGTATATTTCATCGTGGCTCATACAGGGTGTTATACAAGTCCCGGAAGAGCAGAATAACTCGAAAAATATGAGTCCTGGAAGAAATGAGAAGTACTGGGTTTTTATGATTTTTTTTTTGGCTATCTGACGATGACCTTGGATTTGACCTTGACAATGACCTCGAAGGTCATTTCAAGGTCAGGTCAATTTTTCTAAATGGGACACCATACTTTTGACTCCAGAAATGAAAAGAGCGGGAAATTTTACGTTTGGATATGACCTTGAATACTGCCAAATTTGACCTCTGAATGTCACATAAAGGTCTAAGCTTGTTTTAGGCTGAAAACGCGAATATCTTCGAAAATGCACCTGCTAGGGAGCAATATTACGCATATGAATAAGAATGTAGAGGTCAACGAGGAACATTCAGCCGTGACCTTGCCCTTATTCTCAAGGTCATGAGTTAAGATTATTATTAAGGTCAAACCGAACTTTTTCGGACTGAAAATCCATACTTTTGACCTAAAAGTGTCAAGATTGAACAATTTTACGTTCGGATATGACGTTTTCAACCTTGACCTTGTTCTTAAGGTTATGTGTCAGTCATATCAAGGTCAATTAATTTTTTTTGCTGGAAACACATACTTTTACCCCCCACCCCATAATGTAAAGAGTGAGATTTTACGTTACGTACGAGGTCACACTCCGATTGTTGGTAATTCCTCAATATCGGGCGCCATTTTGGATCGGTCATCTTCAATTTGTAAAATTCAACGTCGGATTCGATTTCAGAAACGACTTCAAAAACTCCTTAAACGAGATCCAATTTTTGTTATTCTTAAATATCGGCCGCTATCTTGAATCGGCCATCTTGAATTTGCAAAATCCGACGTCGGATTCGGTTTTAGCGAGCTCAAAAATCCCAGGATCGGTATCCGAAAAATTTATTCGCCATCGATAAAGTGTATGCTTCAAGGTTTTTATTTGTCTCGATTCTATCAGTGTAAAACAGATAATAGATTGTTTTTGAGTTTTCATCGATTTAATAAGTTTTGATGTCATTCTAGTCCGTTTTGAATTATTATCATATTATTATTAACGATCAATGGTACATTACTTATTATTTTTATTTGAAGGTAAAGAAACCGAATTTTTTATACCAAATTTTTGCAAATTTTTTGTTTTAAATTCCAAATGGCTTCTCTTACAGAGCATGAGAGAGTTTCGCTATTGATGATGAGAGGATGGGGGGATAGACAAAGGTCATACAATGAAGTGAGATTGCTGTTCAATGAAAACTTTCGTAATGAAGGCGAAGGTATTTCAATATCGACTGTAGCTCGCACCATCAGATGATTTGTAGAAACTGGGAGTAATAAAAACCGCCAAAAATCTGGGAGGCCAAGGTCCCAAACGACAAAAGAGCGACAATTTGAAGTAGCCCAATCATTTGTTGAAAATCCCAGATTGGCAATTAGAAAAGCATCTCAACAGCTTCAAATGAGTATATTGTCAATTTCCAAAAATCTAAAGACCATTAAGTTCCACCCCTATAAAATTAATCTCCACCATGAGTTGAATGAGGATGATTTTGACCGCAGGGTGCAATTTTCAGAAGTTATGATGCAAAGAATTGATCAGCAACCGAACTTTTTGCATAATATCGTTTTTTCAGACGAAGCGTCTGTTGAAATTACTGGTAATGTAAACAGTCATAATTTCAAATATTAGGACAACAAAAATCCTCATTGGATGCTTGAAGCACATACGCAGCGACCTCAAAAATTGAATGTTTGGGTAGGTCTTTATGATAATCAAGTGGTTGGGCCTTTTTTTATAAATGGGAATTCGAACTCAGAAACCTATCTGCAGCTTCTAACAGACCAAATTGTTCCATCAATACAAGAGATTGTTGATGATAATTTTGATGATGTTTGGTTCCAGCAAGATGGGGCACCGCCACATTATGGACGCATTGTTCGGAACTATTTAAACGATACTTTCCCTAATCGATGAATAGGTAGAAGAGGAACAATCGAATGCCCACCGAGATCGCCCGACATTGCACCACTTGATTTCTTTCTTTGGGGCCACATAAAATATAAAGTTTATTTCACTAAATCTCGTAACCTGGATGAGCTTCAACAACTGATCATAGACGAATGTGCTGCAATACCTCCAGAAATGATAAAGAGTGCGACTGACAATTTGTACGCTCGCTTAGCACACTGTCAAACGGTCAATGGGGAACATTTTGAACATCTCTTGTAATCTCAGGCCGAGTTACAAGATGCTTTGCCTTCGGTGGCCGGGACTAACTGAACCTTGCCTTCAGTGGTCGGGTTTGAGACACCTTGCCTTCAGTAGTCGGGTTTGCGACACCTTGCCTTCAGTGGTCGGGTTTGAGACACCCTGCCTTAAGTGGCCAGGTTTGAGACACTTTGCCTTCAGTGGTCGGGTTTGAGACACCTTGCCTTCAGTGGTCGGGTTTGAGACACCTTGCCTTCTGTGGTCGGGTTTGAGACACCTTGCCTTCAGTGGTCGGATTTGAGACACCTTGCCTTCAGTGGTCGGGTTTGAGACACCTTGCCTTCAGTGGTCGGGTTTGAGACACTTTGCCTTCAGTGGTCGGGTTTGAGACACCTTGCCTTCAGTGGTCGGGTTCCGAGACACTTTACTTTCAGTAGACTTCACGATCAGTGAAGTAACGTAAAACTCCTAAAAAAGTCCGGTTTGACCTTAATAATAATCTTAATAATAATAATCTTAACTCATGACCTTGAGAATAAGGGCAAGGTCACTGAATGTCCCTCGTTGACCTCTACATTCTTATTCTTATGCGTAAAATTGCTACCTAGCAAGTGCATTTTCGAAGATATTCGCGTTTTCAGTCT